TGTAACGTTGGGAACTACATGGTCGTGGAGGAAAGCTACTCTTTTTCCTTCCTCATGACCTAGAGACAGCCTTCTATGAGGAATTCTCTGCTCAGAGCCTCACCAGGCCAGTCAGGTAGTGCTGTGGAAGCCTGGAGCCCCATTCACTTAGATCCCAAGTGGATACACTGTGAATATGATACCAATCCACTCTAGTACAGACAAAGGTAGCCCCGGAGCTCAGCCTGGGTGTCCTCTAGCTGGTAAAAGCATCAGCAAGAGTTCCAACAGGAAGTTGCCCACAGAGGAAACGAACCACCCACACAACTCCCTGACATAGGAGTGTGTAGAGACAAGCGAGTACTACGCAGAAGTGACGAGGGCATCAACTGGAATTTGGATGAGTTCACCTGTAAGATCGCATCTGCTTCAGAGAGGTTTACTCAAGAACGTTAATATGCAGACAACAAAGTGGTAAGCAAACAAAATGCTCTGGAAGATACACTAGAACAGCGGTTCTCAACCTGTGGGTCACGACCCCTGTGGGAGTCAAACAATCCTTTCACGGGGTTGCCCAAATCACAGCAGTAGCAAAATGACAGTTATGAAATAGCAACGAAAATAATTTTATAGTGGGGGGGCAGGTCACCACAACATGAACTGTGTTAAAGGGTTGTAGCATTAGGAAGGTTGAAAACCACTGCCCTAGAAGAGTGTGTGTGTGTGTGTGTGGGGGGGCTCTTTCTTTTGTTAGCATATAAGTGGTAAACAAATCCCCCAGTTTTTATCCATTACAAAAAGTAAACCCAACATTACCATCTTGAGGACTAACAAATGGTCCAAAAAGTAAGTGCATTCACTGGTAAAAAGCTCCCACATGGCCTCCTGCTGCTTTCTCAGGTCTACTTGGTCAGGGGAGAGTTTCTGATGTGTGTCCACGACTTCGTCCCAGGTCTTATCCTGCATGTGGGGAGGAGAAATGAGTGGGCACAGCATCTTCAGTTCCATTTGCTTTGGTTTGGCGGACAGCCGGGACAAGCAATCCCACAACGTCTGATTTCTGGCTGCAGGCTCCTGGCACCCCTCCCTGCTCCTCAAATGACTCAAATCACACAACCTCTGTGGGAGACCCCTGGAAGCCCAGCCCTTCTCCAGAGTACAGCAGAGTCACGTGTGTAGATGTTGATTTTAGTTGCCCAGGGACAGGAATTCAAGCAGAAGTTGTTTTAGTTATGATGGAGCTTTTGAATCCTTTTCAATTTATTGTAAAAAAAATCTCAAGAAAGAAAAAACAAACAACAAACCGGGAAAGAATCCAGTGAGAAAGATTACATGTTGTAGGATTCTAACTACGTGGCCTTCTGGAAAAGGCAGAGTCCTGCAGGGAGCAAGGAATCCAGAGGTGAAACACATGGCATCTTTAGGGGCAGTGCAACTGTTTCTTCTGTGATACTCTGGTGGAGAACGGGCCCCCATTGAGAGGGAGCCGGAATAAGAATGTGGGACTTTGACTAAGAGGAACGCACTGCCTCATCTGGCAACACACATGCAAGATGTTCTTCACTACGTACACAGGGAGAAGATGTGCTTGGGAATTCTGGGCAGTTTTTTCAGCAAACCTGCTCTAAAGATGTCTATGAAAGAGACAAGCAAGAACAGAAGAACCATTAAAGAAAAAGAAAAAGAATCCCAACCTGGGAATTCCAATTCCAGGTTCCACTGGCAAAGCCTGTGGAAAAAATCAGGACCTAAGGATTTTTGACTTAAAAGAGACCTTTAGAAATTGCCCTTGAGCCATGCCAAACTCTCACAGCCATCGAGTTGTCTGACCCATGGCAACCCTTTAGGATAGGGTGGAACTACCCAGGTGAGTTTCAGGGACTCTAGGAACAGAAAGCCTCATCTTTCTCCCACTGAGCCAGGTGTGATGGTTTTGAATGACTGATCTTGTAGGTAGCAGACCAACCCAAAGCCATTAAGCTACCCAGGGACTTCTAAATTGCCTGGTAGCCAGTAGTGGAATTCAAATAATTTACCAACTGGTTTGCTGCCCTAATGGGCTGCCTTAAGTATTAAAAAATGATATAACAAAAGGTAATTTATTATTTCATACAGTTAATGCTTAAATAAGAATGATAAAAGAGATACACAAAACTAGATTATATTATAAGATGTTTTAAAATAGTAATGAAAACTCAAGGAATACCTGACAAAAAAAGCAATAAAACGGTTCTTCGAGAGAAAAAAAAAAAAAGAAATTGCCCTAGCAAAACCAACTTCATTTTCAGATGAAGCAGTTGTGGCCCAAAGAGGAAACAAGCTATGAACATTTGCACAAGGCAACTCCATCTGCAGGGTCCGCATTCCAAGTCCGCATCGCCTTATCCAACTCAAAGGACTTTCCCCAAGGTCACAGAGTGCATAGAGCAGGGCAGGTCTGGTCCCTCCTGGCCCTATGCTTCCCCTCCGCAGCTTACTGCTTGTCATCTGAACAAGGCAGCAATTTGACAATTTAAAATATCTACTACGACAATAAAATGCCCTGCTGCACAGTAAACAGCCTGTGAAGATACCTTAAGGCCGTGGAACTCGTAGCCCCTGAAGTCTGTGATCTTCACGGCGGCCAGGCAGTGCTCCAGGTCAACCATGTGCTTGTGCTTGTCCTTGGCCTGCTCAAGGACGGGAGAAGCAGCATTTGCAAACATGCATTCTTTCAGGACATAACGTAGCAGCCTCAGCACCTAGGTTCATTCTATAGCAGTCATGAGGACACATCGCCTAGTTTGTCATTAGGCCCTTAGCATGCGGCAGCTATTTCCCAGGCTTAATCTGAGCCACCCCTCCCTTACTGAGTTGCTGCTCACCAGTCTGATTCGTGGCTTCACTGTGTGGGTAGAGCACAGCTTTACTCTGGGGTTTCAGATAGCAGAGAGCCAGGCCTTTCTTCCTAGATGCCCCTGGGTAGACTAACACCTCCAACCTTTTGGCTAATAGCAGAACACATTTAAGTATTTGCACCACCTAGGAGTCCATAGGACCAGAGAATGTCAGTCTGGAGGAGAGAAACCAGTGCCATGCAAAATCTCTCTCTCTCTCTCTCTCTCTCTCTCTCTCTCTCTCTCTCTCTCGTGTGTGTGTGTGTGTGTGTGTGTGTGTGTGTGTGTGTGTGTGTGTGTAGGGGAGGTGGGGGAAGGCAAGGTATTGAATAGTCCTAAAGCAAATAGATATGTCAACCCAGTGGGATGGCACAGACTCCTTTACTGTTCCAGCTCTCTGAATTCTGGAGCCTGGTACCTTAGCTTCAGAAGATGCCTCAGACCATATTTAGTTTAACCTTTACTTCTGCGGTTGTCTAGATAAAGCCTAGAGTGTTAACCGAAAGTATCCAACACAATAATCTAAACAGAAGAACACCAGAACACTTTAGGGACTCTAGTTTCCTTAGAATGGAATATAGAGCTCTTATAATAAAAAGAGATTCTAACAGTTTTATTGGCATATATTTCACATTATATCCCTCAGTGCAACACCACAATCAGTTTTGACAACATTTCTTTTTTCTTGTACTCAAGAGTTTCCCCAATCCCCCCAACCTCCCCTGCCATAACCTCAAGAAACTATAAATCCATTTACTCCAAAAATACAAACTCACTGCCATTAAGTCGATTCCAACTCATCGCGACCCTGCAGGACGGGCTAGAACTGCCCCTGTAAGGTTCGAAGCCTGTTATTCTTTACGGGAGCAGAAAACCCTTCTTTCTCCCAAGGATGGGCTGGTGATTTTGAACTGGTAAACTTAGGGTTAGCAGCCAAGCACGTAACCACTACACCACAAGGACCCCCTTAATCCAGCTCCGGCCTCTATAGATTGACCTTGATGTGGATTTCACATCAAGGAATGCATAAAAAAACAAAAATCAAAGAAAAAGTTAAAAAAACCCACAAACATAATTTTCCTAATATTTACAAAATCTGTTTACAGGCAGAAGGCATGATCGTGGCAGAAAATTTGGAAAACAAAACTCAAAGAAAGAGAAACTACTCATAATGCTCACCCCTGGGTTTATCACTGACTACACTTGCTGAACATATTCAGAATGAATTCTTAAGTGGAACCACATTTATTCCTCTTTTGTGGTCTGAATTATTTTCTCGTAGTGTAGCATGAGCAGTTTCTCCTCCTCACTGAACCTTCTGTTGCAACATCATGGGTTACCACCCAAAGGGCTCCTTTTACCAACGGAAGTGGGAAGAGGCTGTCATGGCACAATGTGTAAGGCTTTGTAAAACCAAGTTGGCTGTATTTCAAATGCATGTTTGTCAGAAATGATCTTTTTAACCCAATGCTGTGCTTCAAGGGTGCGTGGTGCCACCACCGATCTAACCTGTTCGATAGACACTATCGTCAGTCGGTTCTGTGTTCATGGGAAGGAGAAGGCTCCTGTTTGGGTATTCTGGCCTGAGGTGAGTAGGGGCTACATGTGCGTCTGCAGGGGCCCCCATGCAGCTTCTGAATGTGCTGCAGGGAGTCGCTGCAGGGCTGGGGCAGCTCTCCCTGGGCGCAGTGACGGCCAGGAAAGAGGAAACCTTTTGTGAACTCAGGAGCTTGCACAGAAACAAAGGAGTCTTGGAGTCAGTTTGGGACCTCCTACAGCCATTGGGACATTTGCCTTGTGTTGATGTCTGAAACCATAGTGGCAGCAACTTGGGGGGGGGGGGCATCAGTAACAAGTTGGAAACGAAGCCAGAGAAGACAATGGAGGCCGCGTGGGAGTTGGGGGAACGTGGGTGCCCCTTGTGTAAGTTGAAGGGCACTCACTGTGGCTTTCTGTGTGTTTGACCAGCCTCCTGGCCAGAGTTGGTGGAACTCCCAGTAGGAAAGGAGGGGCTATTCCTTCCGAGGGCCTTGTTAACTCTTTAGAGTTGCTATCCATTTAGGGTCTTGTTTCTTTCCTAGCATGGGATTTGAGGGTGCTTATCAGGGACCCAAAGAAAAGTGATCACTGTGGTTGAAATGGAGTTTATTAACTAAGAGGTGGGTGAAGTGGAAATGTGGGGCAGGCAGTGGTGCCGTGGCACGGGGGTGGCGCGTGGTTGGAGGAGCAGTGCAGAGTAATGGCTGAAACAGACTCAGAGCCAGACTGCAGGGGTGGGGGTGGGGGCTGCCCGGCTCGATCCATGCCCTGCGGCTTGTGAGTTGTGTGATCTTGGGAAAGCTACTCAACCTCTCGGAACCCCAGTTTCTCACATCTGTAAAGTGGGATGATGCTACTGTGGAGAGTTGTTGTAAGAATTGATGAGTGGACATATGTAAAGTCCTGACACGCATACACAGGAGCACATGTAAACAGGAAACATGTCTGGCAGTGAAGTAAGCATGTTCCATGTGTTTGCTTTGACTACTAATATTGTTATGGACGGTTGAGGAAGAAGGAAGGGAGGAGGGGACTATGGAAGGACACAGAGAAAAAGATCTGTTAGAGGCTGGGGAAATACATCTTGGAAATGTGTTTATTATGGTGATAAGAATGACTTGGTAATTCAGGCCAAGAGGAGGAAGAGAAGGAAGGAAAGAGGGGCACTGGTTTTTAAAGGGCCAGATCTCCCACTTTTTGTGAAAGTAGCCTAAAGAAAGGTTGCTGAAAACATCTGGTCCTTCCACTCAACACGTGTTCAAGGGGTCCTCCCAATGCTGTGCATGCCCGTCAGCACATTTTTGCCTCTAGTGCCCTCTCCAGTCCCAGTTGGTTGACTGTGAGCTGGTAGGAGACATCCTGGTATCCTGGGGTAACGAACAGCGCTTGGCACATACTGGCACCCCGCTTACGCAAGTGGAACAAGTTGCTTCTTTACAGGGAAGAAATCTTGTAATTGTGTCCCTTCCCTGCTGAAGACACGTTCTATTTCTCAGTGGCTCTTAGAGGCCCCTGCTCTGGAGAAGCGTCTGGGAGATGTCTCTTCTCTGAGGCCCCTGACAGGATGGGTGCCTGGTCCTGCCACAGTTGTATGCGGAAGGACGCCGGGAGGGCTGGGGGATGAGCCCCCTCAGTCCTGCAGGAAAGCAGTGAGGAGATGCAGCAGAGGGAGAATGACTGGAGCCCGCCGGCACTGGGGACCGGAGGGTCAGAGCTTCACTGACAGCGTGCTGTTTGTCGCTTGTGATGTTTAGACCATATCCATCTAAGCTTTTTGTTCTGGCAAACATAATGTGACAATCACTTGAACTACACTGTTCAGAGAACACAGACCTCCAAACGGCTGTCGTGGCCGGTATGGGTGGAGTCTTTCCGATGTGCCAAGATCTGGCATAGCTCCACAAAGGTTACTGCGGTGACTCCTAACCATCACACTAGGCCTTTTCTAGACAAGGAAGCTGAAGCTGGGGAGTTAATTCATTTGGCCCAGGTCACACAGCAGTAAGTGGAACAGCTGGAGTTGGAATGCTAGGGACCTTTTAATTTAGCTGCTGGACTTAGAAAATAATTAAAAGCATGTGCAGCCACAGAACCTCCAACGTAGATGTCAACAGCTGACCACACACTTGCTGGAGAGGAAGGAGTGATGGTAATCACCCGCCGCGTCTCCTTTGCTGCTGTTGGCTGCAGTCCGTAGGAATTGTGCCAAAGGGGTCATAGATTGTGGGGTGATAGCATTCTGGCCTTCCTTGCAGGAGACATGGGTTCAGTTCCCAGCAAGGCTCTTTGTGTGCCCCCCCCCCCTCCGTCCCCATCTGTCAGGGGAGGCTTGGGTGTTGCTGTGATGATTTGAGATTATGATAGACTCAGAAGAAAGGCCTGGTGATCTACTTTCAAAAATATCAACTAGTGAAAAGCCTATGGGTTTCAATGGTCCGGAGCCCAATTCAGAGGGTGATGCCAGGCCATCTTGAGTGGGAGTGCCGTGAGTCCTGGGGGAGGGGAGATTCCAGGGCACCTAATAGCAACTGTTGAACGAAGGCCCAACCAGTGCATCTTTTCCTCAAGAAAACAGAGGGGAAGGGCCTGGTTGGGGTCACGAACATTCCCACCCTCTACACAACATGCCAGGAAGGGAGGTCTGACTGTGGTCAACCCATGCCCTTGGGAGTAAAGAGGCAGCGACCACTCAGCCATCAGTGGAACTGGGAATGAGTTTTAAAAACCCAGTAGGACTAATCCAATCAACTTTCCCAGACATAGAGAGATATTCGGAGAATCTGTGACTACAATAGGAGTCCTGGTGGCATAGTGGTTACATGCTGGGCTGCTAACTGCAAAGTCAGCAGTTCAAAACCACCAGTGCTCCTCAAGAGGCAGATGGGACTTTCTACTCCCATAAAGAGTTACTGACTCAGAAACTCACCGGGCAGTTCTGCCCCGTTCTACAGGGTTGCTATGAGTCAGCATTGACTCAACGGCAGCGAGTTTGATTTTTTTCTTGGAGTGACTGTACTAAGTATGTATGCTTCCAACGTGCACGGCCCAACCTGCACACTGGGGCATACACAGTTCCCGTCCTCAACTTAGCTGTTTTTCAAGCCGTGCTAAGGCAGACATTTAGAGTTGTAAAGCGCCACAATATCAGGGTAGTTTTGCAGAGCTCACTAACCACTGGCAAGTAGCATTCTTTAGGAGTGGCTCCTCTGGAGAAATATGGGTCTTTCTACTCCCCAAAGAAGTAGTGTCTCAGAAACTGTCCTACCCTCTCCTATAAGGAGGCTATGGGTCAGAATCAACTCTGTAGTGGTGCGATTTTGAGTTGTATAACACAGCACCGGTTGACATGTTCTGTAACCCCTACTCTAGATGTGATCACTTGAATGTCACTTATCTGCCTTTATATCAGGAGAAAGCAGACTGGAGAGGCTCCTCGGTCATTTCCTACTTTCTTTGCTGTCAGAAACCAACCCCCTTTCTGTGAGTCCATGCTGACTCATAGTTGCCCCTAAGGACTGAGTTGTAAATCCTTAAGGGAGCGCACTGCCACATCTTTCTCCTAAGGATTGATTGGTGGGCGTGAATCACCAACCTTTGGGTAGGCAGCTTTGTGCTTTACCCCCTGTGCTTCTAGGGTCCTTTTCCAGCTACTAGAGGCTTAACTACAAACAGAACGACCCTGTGCAATACTCACCATGCCCCTCTTGGAGAAAGGCCATCTTGGCTTCTTGGACTCTGGGGGGTTAAATTAAAGACAGTGTAGTATTACTTGTGAGTTTCTGCTGATAGATATTTGTGATGCTCTATAAGCCCTGCTTTGTAAGTGAGGCAAACAGAATGCACGGAATGAATATTTATATTTCTGGAGATGAGTGACTAAAACAATGCTGTCACCTAAAGGTTGGCGTTCTATCACAGATTTACGGTGTCATTGCCTCTTTTTTTCACTAGAGTATTGTTTACCCTCTCTATCACTTGAAGAAAATTCACAAAATGGTGTTAAGATAGAAGTAATTTATTTCAGACAGTAGCCATAGGATCTTGAGGCTGAAAGGAATGGTTCATTTGCACACCAGAACTGGCTCGATGATAGTGAGATTTTGGGCCATAAACTACCCCACCTCGTGCAAGGTTAAGAGCCTGACCTAATTAGAGACTTGGAGATAGCATCCTCCAATGAAGTGCGGTTAAATGAAAGTCCCCGATATAGGAAAATATTAACCCAGGACATCAATGAGGAGCTGGGGCTTATTGACACTAGTGAATATCCTCCAAGTAATAAGCCATTCTTTAACCACAAAATGCTTCTTCTTTTTCTTTTTAAACTCATTTTACTGGGCGCTCGTACAGCTCTTATCACAATCCATCCATCCATCCATTGTGTCAAGCACATTTTCACATGTGTTGCCATCATCATTCTCAAAACATTTTCTTTCTACTTGAGCCCTTGATATCAGCTCCTCATTTTCCCCTCTCCCCCACCCTCCCTCCCTCATAAACCCTTGATAATTTATAAATTATTATTATTTATCTTACACTGACTACTGTCTCCCTGCACCCACTTTGTTGTCCTTCTCCCTGGGCAGGGGTTGTATGTAGATCGTTGTGATAAGTTCCCCTTTTCTCCCCCACCTTCCATTTACCCTTCTGGTATTGCTACCCACATTATTGGTCGTGAGGGGTTTATCTGTCCTGGATTTCCTGTGTTGTGAGCTCTTATCTGTACCAGTGTACATCCTCTGGTCTAGCCTGATTTGTAAGGTAGAATTGAGGTCATGATAGTGGAGGGGAGGAAGCATTAACGAACGAGAGGAAAGTTGTGTGTTTCATCGGTGCTATGCTGCACCCTAACTGGTTCATTTCTTCCTTGTGACCCTTCTGTAAGGGAATGTCCAGTTGTCTACAGATGGGCTTTGGGTCTCCACTCCGCACTTCCCTTCACAGATCATTCACATTGATATGATTTTTTTGTTCTAGGTCTTTAATGCCTGATACCTGATCCCATCGACACCTCATGATCACACAGGCTGGTGTGCTTCTTCCATGTGGGCTTTGTTGCTTCTGAGCTAGATGGCCACTTTTTTACCTTCAAGCCTTTAAGACCCCAGATGGTATATCTTTTGATAGCTGGGCACCATCAGCTTTCTTCACCACATTGTTTATGCACCTGCTTTGTCTTCAGTGATTGTGTCAGGGAGGTGAGCATCACAGAATGCCATGTTATTAGAACAATGTGTTCTTGCATTGAGGGAATACTTGAGGGGAGGCCCAATGTCCATGTGCTACCTTAATACTAAACCTATAAATATATACACATAGATCTATTTCCCCATCCTTATATATAAATATATTTACATATGTACATGCCTGTATTTAGACCTCTATAAATGCCCTTTGCCTCCTAGTTCTTTCCTCTATTTCCTTTTACTTTCCTCTTGTCCCACTATCATATTTGGCCTTCATTTGGGTTTCAGTAATTCCTGTTGGCTACATTGCCCTTGATCAAACCCCACCAGGCATCCTATACCCTCCTTGCCATCAATTTTAGGTCGCTTGTTATTCCCTTGTCCCTGGGTTGGTTGACACCTCCCCTTCCTTTCCCCCACCTCTGCCTCTCCTGTGTCCCCCAAGAACCATCAGTCCTATTGTTTTCTCCTCCGGATTGTTTATTCTGCCTATCTTATCTAGATAGACATGCAGAGACAATAATAAGCACAAAAACAAGACAGAGCAAAACAAAGCAACAAAAGAAAACAACAACAACAAAACCAAAACACCACCCCCCAAGACAAAAACCAACGACAAAAAGAGGAAAGCCTATAAATAGTTCCAGGTCTGTTGGTTGACCTTTAGGAGTGTTTTCTGGTCGTCTGATGGGGTGCCATACCCTGGCTCCAAAGTATTCTTGCATTGAACACTTTTGGTATTCCCCAGGGACTTCATTGCTTTGCTCCCCTTGCTGCTCTGTTATACACTGTAAGTGTTTCCCCAGTCACAGAATGCTTCTAGATTACTAGGAAATAAAGAGATTTTATTCTGGTCCCTTAATTTTTATGTTAGGTGTATCAATTTGTAATGATACCCAGAGAAAGGTGGAAGAAATGAGATGCTTTGCAGGACTCTCTTTTACATCAAATTCTCTAAGTGACTCTGTGTCATGTTTCAATTAGTTAGAAGCAATTATTTAGATAGCATTGATCATGTATGATGTGCTTGTGGAGTATTTAACCTCTGTAATTATGGAAGTCATCTCCCCAACTGATTATTCTCTCTCTTATTTGGACCACTTTATTGATCTTTATAAAGAGGATATCCCTCAGTGGCTAATTGACTTCACCGATTATAGCCTGACATTTGAGAGCTGTTAACCCTCAAATGCCCAGTGGTAATTATATCTGATTTCAATTGGAGCAACCGGGGCTCCAGTCTTCTGTTTTTAAGGTTGCGGGATAGGTCGGGGTCTTCTGAAAGCTTCACAGATACTCTGAAGAAGAGTTCTATGCATCTCAGAAGACGTTGGATCCATAATCTTTATTATATGGATTAAGTATTATCTAACTGAATCAGAGTATATCATACAACAATATCTTTAGGTGATTCATATGACAAATTTTGAAAATCACTACTGCAGACCCTGATTTGGCAACCTGTCTATTCTAGAAAATAGAAAAATCTATTCTAAACTAATGGAGAAAAAGTGAAGGAAGAGAAGTGGGATAGAAGATGTTTTGTAACTTTTCCTGTGTGAGATCACACTGTACTATACAAAATGGCACTTAGCAAAGAACTGCTCGTATAGTTTTATGCAGTTATGACCTGTTCCCAGCAGGGTAGTTCTCAAACTTTTGAAGGAAGCAAAATCATCAGAGTCACCTGGTGTAATTATTTTTTTAAAAACCTGATTGCTTGGCTCGGCCACAAGAATTTCTGGTTCAATAGCTCTGGAGTTGAACTAAGAATTTGCATTTCTGATATGCAGATTCCCAGTTGATATTAAAGATGCTTACCCAGGACCACGCCTTGAGACCTAATGCTCATGAGAGGTTGAGAGTATTTTTAAAAAGTTATTTGAGATATAATTAGCATATCATACAATTCAATCTCTTCATTATATTAAGAAGGGTTGTGTGGAACTTGGGACACTGAATCCTGGCTCTTCAAGGTGCACAGCCTGCTCCCGAGGCTATACCGGTGAGATCTGATGCTGAAACTCCACTGGGTGAACTGGACTCTCCCTCAGACACACTTGTACCTGGAGGACTTAAATCAGGAAATGCAGGGTGTCTGAGGAAGTGTAAGACAGCTATACCAAGATTGTTGAACTGATGGGAGGCAGACAAGCATGATCTTGCTGCATCAATGGCCTAGATACTGTATTATACTTTTCCGGCAAACCTGTCACTGATGTTCTGTTTTATTTTTTTTTTTTGTTTATTCATATTAGGGTTTATCTCAGAGGTGCTTTGTCATTGGGGCCACACTCTGGAAGTTGTCTTATATATTTTTCTGTGTCTCAGTAATGAAACCTAGAATTGATGAACTTATAGGACAGCAAGTAGAATAAGGATTCCAGAAACTATGTAAAAACTAGAATGAATTAAAAATGGGTCAAAAGGGAGATCAAATGACAAGGTGTTACATTCCAGCCTACCACAGCTGCTAAAATCCACTTTACAATGCTCTTTGTCTGATATCAAGGCTATTCACATCCCTAGGTTATGATCAGCAGGGTTTCATCAGAGAACCAATCCATGTAAGGACACAGAAAATGGGTTTTGGGCTTCTACTATCATCCACAGCATTCTATAGATTGGGTGTTGTAGAATTCAGGCTCTGGGACTATTCCCTCCTCTGAGTTTGGATTTTATTATTTATAATACTTAGATCACACAAACTAGTGTGCCTCTTGCTTGTGGACTTAGCTGATTCCTCACTTAGGTGACTGCTTGTTTTGAGACAAGCCTTTAAGACCCTGTTTTTGCTGATAGCCTGGTACCATTTTATTTCTTCATCACCTTCACTATAGCACCTTGTCTTCAGTGATCTCCCTAGGAGGGTGTGGTAGTTGCATAATCTGTTGTTAATTTGAGACTTAAGAGTGAAGGGGTGGAGTTCAGCCTGTCAATCGAGTCACAGCTTCATGATCTCATTTGGAGGCGCAAGGGAGATAAATAGCTCACTGGAGGTGGGACACAAACTCACTTCCTGTGGGCCATTACTGATGACGAGCCTGATGGAGCTATGCTGATGCAGCCAGAGCCCTGGGGCTGAGGAGCCACGTGGAAACCCACACCAGTGCTGAGACGCTTCTACCACCACTACATCCACAAGATTTCCCACCCACTGGCCTGTGATCTTCTTGCATTTGGTGTCCTTGCATGTGTTTTGTGAGTCTCAAGAGGAATTTATAGAGTGGGACTGGACATATGGGCTAATATTGGACTAATGGACTTGATCTGGACTGCGCTGGGATGTTTTCTCAATATTTAATTGCTCTTGTATAGAAAGCTCTTTTGTATACACATATGAGTCTCCCTGGATCTGTTTCTCTGCTCTACCTGGGTGAACACAGAGAGTGAGTACTGAAAAGGGCCATGCCTCAAGAACGAATTGTTCTTCTATGAGAGCTACAATCAAGGGAGAGCTCAAAATCTATTCATGTATCTGAGGCAGCATGAAACAAGGACTGAGCTCTGTTAAAATTGCACTGTGTTCAGAACTTACGTTAATCTAGAGGCTTGTCAATGAGCCTCTTACCACCACTTATCTTTCAAACCAAAATGAAAATGCAAGAGTCACTTCTAATGCTACCTTATTCCATAGGGCACTAATCTGGCTGCACCTGCTACAACCCTGGTGGAGGGCACCAGCCAGTGAGGCTAAAGACCAGGAAGTGAAGGACAGTAAGGTGGGTGGTGAGTAAGCATTACAGCTACTATAGAGAAACTGCCCAGCCGCCTGAGTGTGCATTCTGCTCTGAGGCCATCACCACCACCGGTTTACTTGCACTAAACCTGGAGTTGGAGAGGGGTGGCATGGGTGGGTGGCTATTTGATAAGAGGATATTTTTGAGAAAAGAGCTAAATAAGTATAAATAACCATCTTTGTAAAGTAAATGTCCAACAGCAGGACTGGTATTCAACTGATGGGATGGGGAATTTTGTGTCAACTTGGCTAGATAGATTATGGTGCTCACTTTGGTCAAACACTAGTCCAGATATTGCAATGAAAGTATGTTGCAGATGTGATGAATGTTGACAGTCTATTGACAGTTGAGTTTATGTAAAGGAGATTACCCTCAATAACTTGGGTGGGCCACATCCAATCAGATCTGCTCTTAAGAGCAAAAACCTAGGCTTCCCAGCGAAGAATGAAGAGCCTCAAGATTATAATTTAGAATTCCCCAGGAGTTTCTGGTCTGTCCTACATAATTTCCACTTGTCTGTCTTTATGGATGCATGAACCAATTCCTTCAAATGAGTCCCTTTATAGCTATCTATGGTTCTGTTTCTCTGGAAATCCTTGACTAATATAGCTGGTCCCAACAATTGGTGAACAGTCTGGTCTAACTGGTCCATGCACATGTTCTACTAGTTATTTAGTATTTCATCTCCCCCTCTTACTACAATGAATGTTTGCGGAGTAAACAGAACCTGAATTCAGCAGCAGCAGTGGGTGGTACAGGTAATCAGCAGCCCCATCTGATACCAGAAGGTCTCCAGGGAACACCTCAAGTCCAGGTAGGTTCAGCACCACGGAACTCCGCCTGTGCTCGTACAACCTGTTCTCAGGGGAACAAAAGGAGAGAACAGAGAGCAGGGCTGCAGGCACGTTCATTGCTCATATTGCCTCTTGTCCTTCAATAGTGGCTGCTAGCTGCCAATGTCAGCTGGCTGAGGAAGGTCTTGGAGGCTTCCATGTACAGTAGGGCCATGATGACACACATGCTTACTGACCATTCATGGTTTTGACCAATCCAAAGCAGAAGGGCTTTGGACTGTAGCAATGTCAACACAACTCATCTTCCTTGGTCTGCCTTAGAAGGCTGGAGGGAGGAAGATCTTAGTCTTTGCACTTCACAATCCACTGAAATTTGAAGAGGTGCCCCTCCATCACCTCCCCAAATCGATCTACCTTCCATTCATCCCACAAAATTCAGGGTCGTGGATTAGCTCTGTTAAGGAACCAAAAAAAAAATACTTGAACAAAATCGAGCTCAGCTTTGATCAATTAGCCATATTTCCCTAGGATGTTAAAACTTATTTTGGCTTGCCCTACTCTATTTTTGTTGTTGTAAACTTTTATGATAATGTGGTAGACGTTGATCACGGTGAACTCGGTGTGCATATTCTTCCTTTTCTTTGCCCATCGAATACACTGACCCTGACAGTTATGAGATGCGAGTGGAAATTACAGAGCGAGGATTCTTAGGAACATTTTCTTAAGGAGATCGACATGTCCAGCTTCTTCCTTTGACTTTGTGCTATTTGCCTTTCTTTCTGGAAAATGGCACCTGAAAGTGTAGATGATACCTGAAGTACATAAATAGGATACCTAAAAGTACAGTGGTGATCTTACAGAAGAGGAAATTAGAAGGAACTTGGTAGCTACTAACATGTGCCTTGGCCTGAGCTCCAATCATGTGACAAGAGAAAACTCCACTTCAAACCACATGCCATTGAGCTACCAGAGAAGCATCGTTATTTGTGTAAGTCATCTGAGTTGGGTTCTGTCACATGCCAACCCAGGCTCTTCCTGATTCTGTTACCGATCTTCCAGATTCTGTTACCGATCTTCCTGATTCCATTACTGATCTTCCTGATTCTGTTACCGATCTTCCAGATTCTGCTCTCGCCAGCTTTGATCTCAACCTTTCTGCATTCCCCACATCTGTTTGGCTCTTTCACCACCTGCTTTATGATGAAGTTTCATAATAAGATGATACAAAATGCAGGCTTTTACAACTCTCCCCTATTATGTGGGGATTTTAAAAAGTTTGTGGAGATTTAAAAAATATATATTTTCATTCATTTTTTTACTGGACTTTTTGAAAGCCCCTCACATTTGCCAATCCAAGCTTTATGGGAAGGAAGGAGCTGAATTAGGTGGGGACTGGAACATCCACATGGTATGAATGAGAAGTGAAACTCATACGTCACCGTATTGGATGGACACACAATGGATTAGCAGTGCACAGATACTGCCAGGAGTTTTACAGTGCTATTTGGAAGGTGTTGTATATACAAGAAGATTAAGGCTCAACAGAAGAACACTCCTAGGGTGAAATACTAGAAGCTTCCTCATCCTCTTTGTACTTTTCTTGTAAAGTCCCTAGAAGTATACAATGGTATTTAGTGGTCATGGGGATAGAATTGGGCAGAGCATGGGAAATTACAGTAATTTCCAGGAGAAATGTAACCAAAGTGAACTTTGGCAGAAAACATTTATTCTTTTGAGCTTGAGCTCTCCATGTCTCACTATCTGGTAATAATTAGGGTTTGATAGTTTGCAAAGATTCTAAACTGCTTTTATATTCTCTGCAGACCTCAGAGAAAGACATGACTACTGACAGCACAGGAGGATTAGTCCTCCCTGCTGTCTGGACTGGCGACGTGCTTCTTGGCTGTGCTCAGCAGTACCCTGAAGTGGTGGGTCCCAGCATGCAGTCAGATTGCCTAAGCTGTAGTCCAAGCTGCATGACTCTGGACAAGTTAAGTGATCTCTGTGACCCTTTGTCCCCACCCTGTGAAACAGAACATAATAATACCTACCCATTGTAATTGGTTATTGTGGGCGGATTAGCTACATTAATCAATAGAGTCCTCTTAGTGCAGTGTCTAGAATTTAATCAGGAAGCTTTCAGTAAGTGCTATTATGCTGACCATTGAGTCTATTACAAACATAACATTCTATTATGTTTCTACTTTCTTTACAAGACTGCCTGTTCCTTAAGTGCAAGATGCATGTCTTACCATCATTGATGTTTGGAGGAGCTCATCTACAATCCTGTCTCTTGGAAAGCATTTTACTTTATAAGATACGTCTGCAGGTTTATGCCTTCCCTTCCCTGTAACTCTAAGCTCCTAGTTCTGATTCTAAATTCCGGTTGTTTATTATTATTAGGTGCCATCAAGTTGGTTGTGATTGATAGTGACTTTATGAAAAGCAGAACGGAACACTACCCAACCCCTGCTGTTAACCAGAAATCCCTGCAGCGGAGTCAGTTCTGACTCCGTGACCCTATAAGACAGGGTAGAACTTCCCCTGCGAGTTTCTAAGAGGGTAATTCTTTACAAATAAGAAAGATTCACATTCTTCAGCGCAGTCGCTGGTGGTTTCGAACTGCTAACCTTGTAGTTAGCAACCCAACATATAGCGACTACATCACCAGTTCTCCTTACTCCTGTTGTTAGTGAAGCGCAAAAGCATTTATTGAATAAATGGGTGAAAAGCCGAGTCTACATACACCAAGTATCATGTCACCCCCCTCAACATAAACTACAGACTAGGCTCTCCAGAGTTATGTAGGTACATTCTGATCTTGGCCTGCACTCTACACTTCGGGCCTCTGTGCCTTTGCACAGGCAGTTTCTCCCTGCTTGCTGGCCTCCACTTTGTTGACCAAGCAGACTCACATTCCTCTTTCAGTTCCAGCTTAGCCAGCCTTCCTCCAGAAAGCCTTTCCTGACTTGGGTAGACAGAGCAAACTCTCTCTCCTTCCCTTCTTTACTCCAACTTGCCCCTTGATAATGATTTCATTGAAAGCTCATACTGTGTATTCCGATGAGCGGACTTCAAAGAAGTTCATAAAACATTGAACTCCAAGAAAATGGAAGCTCTCATATGCCAGAGCATCTGGGCACCTGGCACAGGACTTCATACAGAGCAGGTGATCCGATGAACTTTGGAATGATGTAGTGACAGGCTTCAGATGAATTTTGCTTTTCCATTCTAGATCATAAATGAATAATTGTATACATACACAAAAGCAAAATGCCATTTGAATCACCATCCCCGGTAAAGGAGCAGATATCCCCATGTGCTGGGTACCCTCTGGCCGAAGGCATCCATTTGGAATGTTGTCAGCCAAGTTTTGAGGTTAATTTGCACATGTGACCCAGACAGAAGATAATTGCTTATGCAGAGCCTGAACCTGGCCATGACCTTGACTTTACTGTCTCAGCACTGAAAGCCCAGCCATGCTCATGCTGGAAAGGTGAGCACAACCCGGAAGGGCACAACAAACGTGACAGGTTCATGTTCATCAGAAGGCATGAGTCCATTGAAATGATCAAGAAGTATAGTTGAAAAAAAAAAAAAAAGAAGTCTAGTTGTTACCAAACAGAACCCTAGACAGACACTACAAAGGACTATCTATCTGTACCCAGGAATGGGAGGAGATGTGAATTGACGCAGAAAAACGCTCCCCTGCCTCACATTTCGCTTGGCAGGAGACGGAAGCGCTCTATGAAAGGACCCCCGCCCCTGCCCCCAGCCACCCCCATCTGTGTTACCCGGGGTTGTTCAGGTCCTTTGGTTAATGATATTGATGCCAAGGAGTTATAATAAGTTCAGATTGACTTTGGATTTTGGTTTCCAGGCTTGGCATGGGGCAGGGGAGAGTGTGGATGGTTTCAAACTGTCATCTTGCTTCTGTTATTCCAAACAATAGGGGTGCTTCTTCTAAGAAACGGCATGCCTGCAGGCTCATTGTGTTTAGTTCTGGATTGAGCATCTCCTGGGAGGCAGTCGTGGTGGTGCCGTAAGAATTCTATACTCTCTACCCCTCGAACAAGGTGGTGTCTGGGGGTGTCCTGTATGAAGAGGGCAAAGAAGAGGACTGGGCGACACTCAGATTCTTCACAGGAAGACTAAGTTAGGAACTGAACTCATAATAAATGCATAGTGCTCAGGCGGTGGCTGGCAGACCACCCTCCCTCGGTACGTCCAGTATAACTTTCTGCTGCCCTCCATTTGTTTGGAAAAGCACAATCAGAGAGATGTTCTGGAGAAAACGATTGTTTGCTTTGATGCTCGGCTATCCTGGTCCTTTGCTTCAGGACAAAAATCTCAGGACCCAGGAGATGACAGAAGGGAATGTCTGCAGCCCTCTTTGGACTTGCCCGCCCACCCCCATCTCCCCTCTCTCACTCGCATTCTCAAACACAGCCACACTTGCACTAACCCTGAGTTGCGTTGGCCCAGGCTGGTCAGATCCGAAGGGACTAGTCCCATGGTAGTGGGAATAATCTTCTTCTCTTCTTTCGGGAACCAGAACATCTCTTTCTTCCGTCCTGTCCTCTGCTGGAGATCTGAAGGTCCCTAGTGTGGGCTGATGGCGGCAACAATGCAGGGAATCCAGGGAATTCCACCCCCCCTCACCACCACCCCACCCCCCTACGGCTGGGCAGGCCCTGGCCCCCATGCGTCAGCACTCAACTAGGAGGCAGGCTGCTCTTGCAAGTTGTTGCCAGGAAAGTTTCTGGTGAAAATGTGACCAGTGGGCCTCTAATGCCCCTACTTTGTAAGGCATGGGTGGAGTTCAAATGGAAAAGCAGAGGGCCTTTGCCGAGCACCCGTTCTGTTCAGGGGTTCCGTGGGTCTTCATGTTGATGTCCACAAGGACCATAGGACATGTAAATGACGCCGCTTGCTGTGAACAGAGCCAACTCAGAGGGATGGGGAAGGAAGTTTCCCGAGGTGTCCTGGCCCTGTGAGTGGAAGACCCAGCTAGGATTCAAATGCAGGTTTGCTTTCCAGAAGACTTGTGAATAGGAGAAAGAGAAAAGGATCCTGACACAGATGGGGCTCTTAGAGTGCTCAGAGGGACTTCATGCGTGGTAGAGGAGCAGCGAAAAGAATGAAGGCCCTTTGGGGGCCGCCGTGAGTCAGAAATGACTCAAAGGCACCTAACAGCAATAACAAGCCATTTGTCAGTTTGGCATACTTTCAGTTTGGCATACTCTGATGACTGGTGTATTGCTATGATGCAGAAAGCTATGTTCTTGGTAGTAGCCTTCAGACAAAGGTGGCTAGGAAGAAAGGCCTGACAACCTACTTCTCAAAGTTAGCCAATGAAAACGTTACAGCTTAGAAGAGAATATTCTCCAATGTAGTGCTGCAAGACGAGTTCCTGGTGTTAGAAGACAGCACACGTTGTTAGGTGTCCTCAAATAGGTTCCGACCATAGAGACCCTATGCATAACAGAATGAAACACTGCCCAGTCCTGTGCCATCCTCCCAATTGTTCTTAAGTCGGAGCCCATTGATGCAGCCACTGTGTCAATCCATCTTGCCCAGGGCCTTCCTCTTTTCCGCTGCCCTTCCACTATATTGAACATGATGCCCTCCTCTAGGGACTGGTCTCTCCTTACAGCGCGTCCCAAGTATGTAAGACAAAGTCTTGCCATCCTTCCCTCTAAGGAGCACTCTAGCTTTGCTTCTTCCAACACAGATCCATTGGTCCTTTTAACAGCACATGGTTACTTTCAGTATTCTTCTCTAGCACCACAATACAATTGCATTGATTCTTCTACAGTCTTACTTATTCAGTGTCCAACTTTCAAATGCAGATGATTCTGTGGAGAAGACCATGACTTGGGTCAGGCAAATCTTAGTCCTCAACGTTACATCCTTGTTCTTTAATACTCTAAAGAGGTCTTGTGCAGCAAATTTGCCCAATGCAATAAATCTTTTGATCTCTTGACTGCTGCTTCTGTGAGCACTGATTATAGACCCAAGTAGGACAAAATCCTTGACAACTTCAACCTTTTCTCCATTTATCATGATGTTACCTATTGGTCCAGTTGTGAGGATTTTGGTCTTCTTTATATTGAGTTGTAATCCACACTGAAGGCTACAATCTCTGATCTTCATCAACAAGTGTTTGAATTCCTCCTCACTTTCAGCAAACAAGGTTGTGTCATCTGCATACTGAAGGTTGTTAATAAACCATCCTCCAATCCTGATGCCACACTCTTCTTCATATAATCTAGCTTCTCTAACCATTTGCTTAGCACACAGATTGACCAAGTAAAGTGAGAGGATACAACCCTGTTGCACAACTCTCCTACATTAAAAAAAAATCATTTTATTGGGGTTCTTACAGCTCTTGTAACCGGATGTCCATCCAGTGTCAAGTACATTTGTACATATGTTGCCATCATCATTTTCAAAACATCTTATTTCTACCTGAGCCCTTGGTATCAGTCCCTCATACCTCTCCGACTTTTAAACCATGCAGTATTCCCTTGTTCTGTTCACACAACTACCTCTTGATCCATGCACAAGTTCCTCCTGAACACAATGAAGTGTTCTGGAATTCCCATTCTTCTCAAGGTTGTCCACATTTTATTATGGTCCACACAGTTGAATGCCTTTGCATAGTCAATGAAACATAAACATCTTTCTGGTATTCTCTGCTTTGAGGCCAGATCCATCTGATAGCAGTAGTGATAATCCTCATTAAACATCCTTTTCTGAATCCAGCCTGAGTTTTTGGCAGTTCCCTGTCAATGTACTGCTGCAACTGTTGTTGGATGTTCTTAAACAAAATTTTACTCAGGTGTGACATCAATGGTATTGTTCTATAGTTTGAGCATTCTGTTGGGTCGCCTTTCTCTGGAATGGGCACACATGTGGATCTCATCCAGTCAATTGGCCAGGTAGCTGTCTTCCAAATATCCTGGCATGATGAGTGAGTGCTTCCAGGGCTTCTTCAGCTTTTTGAAAACATTCAATGGGAATTTCATCGCTTCCTGGAGTTGTTCTAATGCAAGGGAATGACCTAATGCATTCAATGAAGTTTGAACTTCTTCCTTCAGCTCCATTGGTTCTTACTGAAATGCAACTCCTGAAATGGTGGACTGTCAATTTGTTCTTTTGGGTACACCACTTGTCTGTCAGTTTTCAGTACTGTGGGGGTTAGTGTGTTGCTGTGATGCTGGAAGCTATGTCACTGGTATTTCAAAAGCCAACAGAGTTACCTGAAGTGGGCAGGTTTCTGAGAAGTTTCCAGACTAAGAACAGACAAAGAGGCAGGACTCGGCTCCCCACTTTGGAGGAAGAAGCCACTGAAAACTTTTTGCATAGCTTCAAAGACAGTACGCAATAGCCACAAAATGGACACAAGCATGTCATTGTTAATGAGGATGTCATAAGACCAGGACATGTTTTGTTCTGTTAAGCATAAATTCACCATGAGCCAGAAATAACCCAACATGATGGACTTCCCAGAGCTTTCGTGTCGGAGGCTGGCTTGCAGAGTGGGGTGCCTCTGGGCACTTAATTGGGGAAGTTGGACTTGCTGACCCAAAAAAGTGGAGTGGAGTGCCTCTGGCACTTAATTCAATGAGCTGGGTTTGCTGACCACAGAACTTGAGCTAAATACCTTTGGTTTGCGGTGTATAGCTTTTAGACATTATTAGCAGACCTGAAATTTTGTAACATGACCTGGTAAACAGCTACAAACCCTGAGTATTTCTCACAGGCGTTGTAACGTGTTACCTTCCTTAATAAATCCTTTTATTACAACAACAGCAACCACAAAAAAAACACAACAAACACCAGAGAATAACAACAACAAAACAATGATTGAATCGTTAAGAGTTCCATTGTGCCTTACTAACAAAATGAGAACTTTCCTGAAAATCCCAAAGATTCTGGGGATGAAATTGGGCATGGTTATTTCTCTTGCTGTCATAGCTTTTAAGCATCCCTAAGAGGGAGGGATGCTGCTACCACCTCAGGACACAGTGAAAATTCAGAGCTGTTTTCTAAAGGAACACAACTCACCTGCACTCCAGAGAAGCACAGAGTCTGTCATAACAGACATTTAAAGGTCATCCCAGATCTAAGCAGCAAGTCTTGTTCCTTCCATCCTTGTCCACAGAATTTCTGTTTAAAAAGCTGTTGAATGTATTTGGCCTTTCTGTCATCTCTACCTGACAAAGCAGGTGTTAATTAAACCACAGGCCAAAGCATTGCCTATTCAAAAGGAGACAATCACTGTGTATGGCTCTTATATCCTGCCCACAAAAGCCACAGCAAACTGCATCTGCTTCCATTGAAGGAGACTTGAAATTAAGACTCTTTGATTCATAATCATGAAGTGACTTGGAGCTGGTAAAACAAAGTCTATTGATTAGTAATCCATTAGATACTTTATGCCAGATCAGAAATAGAGATTGTAAATTGTGTTAGTTACATAATCTCATGTCAATGTGAGGGTATTAAGAGTGAAGGGATGGAGTCTAGTGTGTCAATCAGGTGGCAGTCTGATGACATCTCCTTGTGTGCATGGCCCTCTCCTGAGTATTCTGGGATCTTCCTCGCTTTCTCCCTGGAGGTGGGACACACACCTTCTCTGCTTTGCCTTCCCATTGAGGAGCCACACTCAGAGAGTTGGAGGAACCAGCACTGAGATGCTTCAACTGGCATTGGATCCACAAAACTTTCCACCCACTGGCCTGTCATCTTCCTGCATTTAGCATCATTGCACGTGCTGTGTGAGTCTGAAGTGGAAGCAGACATATGGGCTAATATTGGACTTGATAAGGATTGGACTGGGATGTTTTCTCAATATACAATCACTCTTGGATAGAAAACTCTTTCTTATACACATATGAGTATCTCTGGATTTGTTTCTCTTGTCAACATGGTATAACACATAAACTGTCAAAAAATTGATAGCACTGTAGAAAATAAACACATACCTGGATTGATGTAATTCTTCTCCCTGAAATTAAAAATATATATCTATAACTATATATCCATATTTATACACACACACACAAAAGCTCTTCAAAAATTAGTGAGAAAATGAATGAAGGGATAATGGAATTCCATGAAGCTCTCTGGTACATTCATAGGGATAAATGCATGCATACACACACATGCTCACATATACACACAGTTTAGTCTTTCTCAAATCTGCCCCAAATTCAACAGCAGATACCTTGAAAGGAGAGACAATTTAATTTCTTAGGCAAAAAATTTTGAAATTTTGTGTGGAGTGATGTGAGAGGGAAAGGGGTCGGAAATCTGAATAATTTGTTTTTCCTATTCTTTTAAACCAGAGACACTGGGCTTTCTTCAGTGCGATATATTTGTAACGAAGCCACCCATATTTTCAATGCCTGAGGTGCCATTTACATCTTGATCTGGTGGGCCCTTTCTTAAAGTGCGTCTAAGAATACCAGGAAAAGAAAGTGAACTAGACCTCCTGTCTCCTTCCCCAAACTTCTGTGCCCCCTTTTGCTTAATAGCCAATGTGTCTGTTCAAATAACGTGTGTTCCCCACCTGTAATTCCCATGCTTTTCTCCCACTGTGGAAGCCCCTGGCCTTTAGGAAAATGTGACAACCACTAGACCTAGTTTTCTTTGCTTTAGAGCTGTGTTACCTGAGGGCTTGAGCGTGGCGGGGTGGGGCTGGGCAGGGGAGAGGCCTGGTGAAGGAACCCCTTGTTGATGGACTGATGCCGGGGAGGGGTCTGCTTCTCAGAAGGTCTCATTTGAAGTTCTACTGAGTCAGCTGTGGGCAGGGCCTTTTCAGGGTCAGAAGACAATCTCCGATTGCTGAATATCAAGGGTGATAGGGTGGGAGAAGAGTCCTTTGGACTTCCAGGTGGAGTCTTGGCAAGATAACACGTGGATCTTACAGGCTCCTTACAGCTTCCCCAAGGGGGCATCTCCCAGGTGTCCTGCTGAGGCGTTGAGGTCAAGCTCCCACATCCACTGCCCCGTAATCTCCTCAACGTAGGAGAGGTAGAAATTCGGCCTGGGGCTTGCCGGTCGAACTGGAGAAGATTCCCCTGGTTCTCACAGTGTCTATGAAGAAAGGCCCCATTGCCTTCGGACTGCACTTCTGGGTGGAGAGACCCCAGGTTGCCTGTGGAGCCAAGGGGGCCAGCTACCAGACGCTTCTGGAGGACACTGTCCAAGTTGCTGCTCCCTGATCCACCCTGGAGGTGCTCGGGATCCTCATTCAAGTGCCCCTCATCCCCGGGGACTTCTTTATCCCTTTCCAGAGGAGAATCACCAGCAGGATGTTGCATTTTTAATGAGCAGCAGAATATGGAAATCTGTTACAAATGAGGGAGACTGAGATGAGAAAAAACAAGCTGTCTAATTTTTCAGTGGAAAACATCAAGAAGATAGATGGAAGCCAGCTAACATTAGCATCCTTTATGCTCTGAAGATAATTTCCATAAATGCACCTGCCTTCCTATCTAGTTTATGGTACAATTTACTTATTGTCTCTCCTAACTCTAGACAGCAAAAGCCTTTAAAATGTGAATGATTCCAGAGACATCTTGAAAGACACCTAATTCATCATCTTTTGATTATTCCGTTGCAGGAGAATAAAAAATACATTACATTTTTCTTGTGCGTGGTGTTTATTATTCATTCATTTATTTTAGTATTTCAGTGCCTTTTAGGAAGGTATGAACAAGGAAAACATGGGCCTTGCTTCAAGGTAAGCAACTTTGGGAACTTCAGTGACCCAGTGGGCCATGGCTTTAAAAGCATTGATGTAAAGTGCTTGACTAAAGATCTTTCAGTTTGTCTCGAACCTCACATTTTGGAAAGTTAACTGGAGGGTTTGAGAAGAAACCCTCAGATGACACCAGTTGTCCTGCTTCTCAGAAGTAGAGAAGTTTTCTAGGATTAGCTAATGCCGGGTTATCCTCAAGCCCATTCATGGGGAATCAGTTCTGACTCATAGTCACCGGATTGCACACAGAACTGCCCATAGGGTTTCCAAGGCTGTACATCTTTATGGAAGGCTGCCACATCTTTCTCCTGAGGAGTGGTTACAGATGGGAACTGCCAACCTTTAGGTGAGCTGTCGAACACTTAATGCCTCACCACTAGGGGCAACTTCCTACTCTTAAGCAAAGCTAATTCTACCATTTGATGATCTGATTGCCATAGGAAGGCAACAGTGATGTGTGGGAAAGCTCCAATCCTTACCCATCCAATCAATCATTGCCTAAGAGTGAACTCTTGTTTATTTACAGACCTGGTGTGGAACAGCTAGCCCTTGCATGGACAATTTGGAAGGTGATTTCAGGCAGATTGTGAATGGAACAATGGCAGTTGACCATTTAAGATGATTTTCTGAGAGTAATCTTAGCAAGCCTATAATTCTAATGCAAAGCCTGACACTTTGGAACCCTTGGGGAATGAGCATATTTGGATAGTCCTATTTTAAGAAAAACTAATAACATTTTTAGACTTTAAAATTTGTATTGCATTTACAACATTTTTAGTAGAACTTTTTTGACCATCTATTACTTACTTTCTTAATGTTATAGTGGAGAACGTTATAGGAGAGAGCACTGAATACCAAATAAACTTTTCTGGGTCGCGCCTCAGGTGGGTTATCACTACAGTTGCTATTGTTGGGTGCTATGCAGTTGATTCTGACTCATAGAGACCCATGTGATAGAGTAGAACTGCCCCATAGCTTTTTCTGGACCATTATCTTTATCCAAGTAGAGTTCCAGGTTTTTCTTCTATGGAGCTACTGGGTGAGTTTGACTGCTTATCTTGTAATTAGCAACTGAATGCTTAACTGTTGCTTTGCCAGGCCTCCTTATTGCTCTAGCACTGTCCTGAAACAAATGATTCATGCTGTGTTTCTTTCTCTCTTTTTTAAATTTATGTAAAAAAATATTTTATTGGGGGCTCTTACATCTCTTATCACAATCCATGCAGTCCTCCAGTGGGTCAAGCACATTTTCACATATGCCACCATCATCATTTTCAAAGCATTCTCTTCCCACTTGCGTGCCTGATACCCGCTCCCCATTTCTTCCTTCTCCTTCCTCTCCCCATCTTCCCTCCTGAACCCTTGATAAGTTATAAATTTTTTTTTTCATATCTTACATTGTCCCCATCCCCCCTCACTCACTTTTCCATTATTCATCCCCTTAGGTGGGGGTTCTATTGATCTTTGTGAATGATTCCCCCTTTCTCCCACCACCCTCCACTAATCCTCCTGGTGTCTCTACTCTCTTTGTTAACTCTGAGGGGCTTATCTATCCTGGATTCCTTGTGTTGCGGGCTCTTATCTGTAGCAGTGTGCATTTTGTGTTTCTTATAGCTCAATGGAGAATGCAGTGATTGTTACAGGTTTTCAAAGCATATGCTTGTTTTCTCCCACACCACATGGCTCTATACTGGTGTATTCCTTAATTCCATAACTTCCCTTTGCAGCGCATGTACTTGCCTATCGCAGCCACTCCCCTTTAAATGGGTTTCTCCTAATCATGTTTTAGGAGTTGGAATCCACTTGGTGGCACTGGGGGAATGTTACAGGTATAAAAATCCAGTGCAGAGAGAATTAATAGGCTGTTGGATTTGCCCTTGCAAGAGTCAGAGCCCAATGGTCTTAAAGTAATATGGGGTGGGGCTCCAAGGTCTCTTATATTTATTCCCTGGCTTTCAGCTGGTTGAAGGACAATTGAAAGTAACAGCTCTAAGCAGGAGCATAATGCAGGCACCTACCAAAGCCCATTCGATTCATGACAAAAGCACTCTGAAGTTCTTCATGTTGGTCTTGCTCAAATATTTCGAGCTGAGGATTCAGTGTCCCAGAACTTCATGTACCTGATGCATAACAAGTGGGGAACTTACATTTAGCCAAAGTGGGATTGTATCTGTTTTGTTCAGAGGCTACTAACTCCTAGCCTCTCTGGAAAAGAATGAAGATGTGGTTTCAGGTTCTGAATACCTACTGCTTCACCAACGGACCAGTTTCTTATTCTCCGCACAAACAAATGACTGAGACGAGGGCTGGAGTTACCCAGGTACTTTCACAAATGCTCACACCCAGGGAACTCTATTATTTCTCTCCTTTGTCTGATAGTCTAAGTTGTCAGTAGCAGGTGTTAAAGGAACGCCTGTTTACATAGGCGCTTGCATAATAGTCCGTGGGTTTTCCCTTCTGTCCGGGTGACCTGCTTTCTCCTCCTTTGAGAGGTTAGGACACAGCTTTCTCCCTAGACGTTCAGACCTAGGGCTCTGGTTGGGGGCAGGAGGTTAGTGAGGTCTGATGGAAAGTGGAGCTGTGCAGGTCAAGGTCAGAGTGAATGCTGACTTGGCACACAGAGCAGAGCTTCGAGATGCAGTGTGCAGAGAGGTCAGAGAGCACAGGGGCTGGGGAAAGATCTGGATCTTCTCTCAGCCTCATGATTGTGTGAGGGTAAGCGCGCTTGGACTCTATCAGCCTC